TCCTTGTCGTAGAGGTCATTTGCAGATTTCGGTGTCTCTCTTCCTTTTGCTCTTCTTCCTTGCGTTGGAAAAAGCTTCGGGTTTCCATGGCGGATGCTTTGGAAGCGCCTCACCTGCCAGAATAACAATAACATCAAAACAATGAATAAATCCAACTTTTTTTTGGGGGAAAAAAAGCAGAAGGGACCAAAAAGAAGAGAAAGGTTGGATAATGGTACCCACATGGGCAGGCAACTGGATCTCTTCCAGATACGTTGGACTACAACTCCCATGGGCCCCAGCCAGCATCACCAGTGTCCAGGAATGATGGGATTTGTCATCTAAAGGGCCTGGAGGGCAGAACGTTGTCTGCATCTGGTATGAGGCATTTCTATTCACTTTCCCTGGAATAGGGATTTCTATTCTATTTTTTTGGAGAGGGCATTTCTTGGACGTTTAGTGGGAGGGATGATGGAGTGTTGTTGTTGGATGCCTTCAAGTGGTTTCCGACTTGTGGCAACCCTATCATGGGGTTTTCTTGGCAAGCTTTTTCAGAGGGAGTTTGCCATTGCTATCCTCTGAGGCTGAGAGAGTGTGACTTGCCAAAGGTCATCCAGTGGGGTTCTATGGCCGAGCGGGGATTCGAATCCTGATCTCCAGAGTCATAGTCCAACACTCAAACCACTACACCACGCTGGCTCTCAGATAGTGGACTAAATCCATTCAAAATACATCTAATGTGTATAAAATCCTATTTAGGAGTAACTGGAAACATAAAACGTTGCTTGTTTCACCAATACGACAGTTTCATTCCTTCGGGACTGCAACTTAATCATGGCTATGTTAACCCTTAAGCAATTGACTTGGGAAGTAACTTTTTAAAAGTAATTTATTCCTGTTGCTTGTTATACTGTTTGGAAAATAGCTTCTTTTCATTATTCGCCAGACTCTGGAAGTCCCTTCCAAAGAAGGTTGGGTTGTTCCCACACCTTCAGGAATTGCATTTAGACAACATAATTTCCAAAGTCTGTAAAATAATTTAAAAAAAAATGAATTGAAATGACAAGAAAAGAGATTTCATGTAAATATTAGGAAGACGTTCCTGATAGTAAAAGCTGATCAAGAGTGGAATAGACTGCCTTGGAGTGCGGAGGCAGACTCTCCATCTTTGGAGGTCTTTAAATAGATGTCAGATAGGCATCTTTTCAGGAGTGTTGCGATTGTGTATTCCTGCATGGCAGCGGGGTTGGACTAGGTGCCCTTTGTGGTCCCTTCCAACTCTTAAGATCCTATGATTCTGTGAAAATTCCTCCTTGACTCAATCCGTGTAAAAGTGTGCCTCACGATACATTCAGAAGATGCATTTTCTATTTTAACTAGAACCGTGAATACTTTGAATATAAACTGCTGATGCTCAAAGGCAAGTAATGGGTTTTAAAATAGCCCAAGTGTTAAACCACTGCAGCAAGCGAGGGCAAAATACCCAGGCTTAACAACACATGTGTTCCTATCACTCTTGCACTAGGAAAAGCTCGGTTGAGGAGTTGGGCATAATATTTATGAGGAATAGAAGGAGGAAGGCATAGAGGAAAGAGGGACACAATTGTTTTCTGAAATTCAAAATTAAGACTGCTTTTAAAGAAAATAAGAGATGTGTCGAAGTTTAGGGAGTTGGACTGGAGGTGCCCTTTCCAAGTGTTTAGATATTACCAAATGGCTGCGGTTGTGTTGTTGTGTGCCTTGAAGGCATTTCCAGCTTAAGGTGACCCTAAGGCAAATATATCACAGGTTTTTCTTGGCCAGAATTGTTCCAAAGGCAAGATTTGGCAAGATCTGACATGTCACAGGGGTTTCTTGGCAAGATTTGTTCAACCTTGCTCTGAGGCTGAGAAAGTGTGACTTGCCCAGGGAGATTTCCATGGCTGAGCAGGGACTAAAACTCTGGTTTTCCAGAGTCCTGGTCCAACTCTTAAACCACTACACCATACTGTCTTAACTGCTTTAAATCAAGTTGTGGCAATTTGCAAAAACACTTCATTTCCAGTGAGGAAAATAGGTTCTCTCTCTATTGGTGTTTATTTGAATGATCAGCTATGAATGAATGTGGTTGCTGCTTGATGCATAATGACATCACTGGGATCCCCCTATGACATCACCAGAACAGGCCATGTGACACACACAAGCCACGTTGCACACACCAAATGTTCCCCATGGCTTCCCTGTGGTCTCCTGCCACATCCTCACCATCTGAGGATGTATCTACACTGTAGAAATAATGCAGTTTGACACCACTTTCAGTGCCATGGCTCCATCTCACAGAATTCTGGGATTTGTAGTTTTGTGAGGTAGAGAAGGCCAAAGACCTGGTAAAACTACAAATCCCAGGATTCCATAGGAATGGAGCTCCAGCACTTAAAGTGGTGTCCAACTGCATGCATCCTTTCTACAAAATGCTGTTTTCTGCACAGAACAACCATGTGCGAATATTTCAGAGAATAAGTCCCGAATTGCGAATAGGCTTTGAAAACTGCAGAGTTTTCCAAGATTTTCTTGTCGGGGGAAGAAAATTGCAAAATTACTGGTTGCTTCCTTCCAAAAAGGAAATTTGTGAAGAATTACATCCCTTCTGTGAAGCTCTCTGAACAAGGGCACAGGTGCCCTTTGTAACTTGCGATGCATTTTAGAAATGATAAACACAAATCATGCAAAATACATCCAGATGGATTATAATAGAGACCAGAAAATCCCAGGTTTTATTCCTGCTCTTTATGATTTTATTTTGGAAATCCATACACATTTTGTCTATCGAAGAAGATTTTCTATCAGCTCCTGGTACAATCAGGGACTTTTTATACCGGCTCCCCAGGTATAATTTTAACCCAATATAAAACTGGAAAGATCAGGAATAAAACCTGGGACTTTTCAATCAATCTGAATGAGACCTGAGTGAAATCTGGATCTAGATATAAAAGGATGAGGCATTCTTTTAGTTAAAACTCCACGGAGAGGCTCCATTTCTGTACAATATTTAACTTATATTAAAAATTGAGCACAGTGGTCCTCCCAAGCAAACTCTAAGGAGCAGAAATGATTCACCCTTACATTCGAGATGTATCAAAGACTCATTAACAGTTTTTAAAAGCTGAAAGCAAGATACAAATTTGGAAGATGGGGGGAATATCTTACCTTCGTTTTGACAGGCCTATGAAGAGCAAATCTTCCTCTTGCTTATGCTACGAATCCCAAATGCAGGAGCCTGGTGCCAATGTCCGTCCTGAAGAAAGATCAAAGGACAAAAGAGTGATGGCATTAAGAACGACGGGTGTCCCTCCAAGAATGTGTCCAAGGGTAAACTGCCCACCCTTCCAGCCTTAAATATAGCATTATCTCATGCCGTTTCAATGACAATGGAGAGAACCATCCAGGATTTATGATCCACAAACAGCTCTCTGCATGGGCGACCCAGGATCATTTTTCTAGACCGGAGAGTATTTCTGTCCATTGTCAAAGCAGAACAAGAAAGAAGGCTTAGGGAGAGCTGGTCCTGGGGATGGGAGGAATGAGTATGGCTCCTTCCTGAAATCTTCCTATGAATTGTATGTTGCTACCTTCTTTAAACAAGTTTTTAAGTGGTTTAAGACTGCAAATAAAGGGGAGACATAACTAATAGTGGGGGAACTAATGGACGGTGAAGAAATGCGAATAAGAAGAAAACCAATGCATTTGAGATGTAGTGCTGGAGAAGAGTGCTGAGGATCCCGCGGATGGCCAAGAAGACAAACAAATGGATCCTAGAACAGATCAAGCCTGAAATCTTGGAAGCCAAGATGATCAAACTGAGGCTGTTGTATGTGGGTCACATCATGAGAAGGCATGGATCATTGGAAAATACATGAATGCTATGAAAGGTGGAGGGCAGAAGAAAGAGAGGAAGATTGCATGCCCGATGGATAGACTCAATTTGCGAGATCACGGGCATGAATTTGCAGGACCTGAGCAAACCAAAAGGGGGTCTTGGAGATGTCTCATCCACAGGGTCACCATGAGTTAAGGTGGACTCAAGGGCAGCTAGCAACAACAAATCTGGAAACCTATTGCCTCTTAAGTATCTGTATGCTACAGAGAGCACACAACTCTCTTGTTGCAACAGCTTCGCTAGCTGTTGATTTGTTACCAGGCGCAATTCCTAGCGCTGGTTCTCACAGTTCAGGTCCAGGTTATTTGAAGGACTGTATGCTCCAGTGCAAACCTGGCCAAGTTTTAAGATTTTTTGTGCAATCCAGATCTCTGTGTCCTGCCATCCTCACAAGTACATCTGGTGGGAACACAGGAGACAGGGCCTTCTTGGTTCTAGAACTCTCTTTCCAGAGATATTAGCTTGGCATCCTCCCTACCCTCTTTCTGCAAACAGGTGAAGACTTTTCGGTTGCAACAGAACTGATTGTTTAGAGGGCTGAATCCACACAGAAGAAATAATCTAGTTTGATATCTTTTTAACTGCCGTAGCTCCATGCTATGAAATCCTGGGACTTGCCGTTTGTGCTGCCACCGAGCTCTCCGACAGAGAAGGCTAAATGTCTCACAAAACTACAATTCCCAGAATTTCATAGCACTGAGCCATAGCCGGTGGTGTCAAACTGGATTCTTTCTGCACTCGGTGGGATGGCATTAATCGCTTTTTAAAACTTTTGCATTCTGTGAATTTTTAACTATTTTTTTTAAATCTGTTGGAAGCCGCCTTGAATCCTGAACTGAGAAAAAGGTAGGATAAAAGTAAATTTAATAATAATAATAATAATAATAATAATAATAATGCAACTAAGGAAGCGATGGCCTGTGTCTTGGGTTCCTGTCTCAGAATGCAAGCTGCACCAAATGATGCGGTGGCATTTAATGACTGGTTGAGTGGCATCACCTGGCATGTTGCTGACATGGGATCCCCAGGCAATTGCTCAGAAAAGCATGCCGCATCAAGAGCTTGGAACGCAGCCCTTGGCAAGGCAATGCGCACCCTTTCCAGCCCTCGCCTTCCATGGAAACAGCAAATGAAACAGATGGTCTGCTTGGAACAATTACTTTGTGTGTGTATGTGTGTGTGTGTGTGTGTAGGGAGGAATTACAATTCTTGCCATCTTTCAGGCCATCATGTCCAGAACACTGAACTAACGCCAGCAGCTATTTTAAAGTTAGTTGCAAATAGTTGCTGCACAACGTCTGATAAAGTTTTCCATTGCTAGACTTCAAGCGCCTGCTGCATCAAGTGAATAATGCAAACATGAGAAGTTACATAGGGGAAAGGGGAAGCATCCAGAACATTTGGACAAAACGTCTTACGTGGCGGAAAGTGTACATATAAAGGATTTGTATTTGGTTCTCCAAAAAGGGCTTGCATTTTAAAAAAAACAGACCTGACAAATTGGTGACCCACTAAGTAAATGCAATTCCGTCAATTGAGTAGCGTAGCATCCCAGCTTTTTAATAACTGCCCTGTTAGTGTAGTTTCATACCCTCCAACTGTCCCAGTTTGGCAGGGATGGCCCTGGTTAATTCTCTGCCATCCCATTTTCTCAGTTGCTTTTAAAATGTCCCAGTTTTTCTCTCTTTCTCCCCTCTTTCCCCTTCATCCTCAGCTTACACGAATTTGAATCTGTCTTGAATCCTGCTGTGAGGCAAAGGCAGGATATAAATCTTGGAAATAA